AAAAAAAAAAAAAAAAAAACCTAGACAAAACTAGTACAGGATACTGACAAAGCATCTTGGTGGTTTTTATAGAGATTCAAAAACATTTGGTTGAAGAAAACTGACTTCTGTAAGTGCTTAGGTCTTAGATACCATGAAAAGACTGTGGGCCAAAACACTGTATCTGAGAAAATGGTCAGTCCTGTGGGAAGTCCTGTGGAAGAGTTTACCTCGTGATGATTCCATTTTCTGCAAGAATGAATGCTGCAGTAGGATTGGCAGCTCTGATGAGGCTCTGCAGTTGAACGAGGAGAGGGTGCCTCTGCTCCATGGTGTGACTGGTGAAGACCACATTACTCACCAAGCCTGGGAAATAAACCGAGAACAGTTCAGCCTTCAGAGTTCTGAATGGGGCTAAGGGCTCATATTGATGTGGACCCTTGCTCTCTCCCCTGACCATCCACTGTCTTCTTCCCTGTCTTTCTGCTCAGGAGCCTCCTTGTGTAGACACCCTTAGCCCACAATACTGACACACACGGACATCATTCTGTTCCCTATTCCTGGCACTTTCTCTTGGAAAGAATAGTCTCAACTTTGCAGCTGCCTCACTTCCTAACCTCCTCTATCTTCTTAACTCTGCTTTCTAGCTAATACCCAGAGCTTCTTCATCAAAAGACTCTTGCTGCACATCCGGTACTTAATATCATCAGCTCCTGTTGTCACTGACCTTCACCAGTTCAGACCACAGATATTTACCAAACACTAACCATATGTCAGGCTCTAACCATTATGTTCTCAACGGGCACATGGCCAAGAAGGAATCACTGTGGACCCACACTTCTAAGATAAGTGCTAACACAAATGCTCACAAAGTGCCAGGGTAAGGATGCGTAGCCCATGTGAGGAGTGGGTGTAGAGTGGGCTACAATCACTCCTAACCTTCTTGCCAAAGTACAGAAGCAAAATTCACAATACTACAAATAAACTAGAAATCAGGAAAATTATGATATCCCACCACCCCAATAAATTATAATACCCAAACAAACAAACAAAAAAACTCACTGCTGTCGTGTCAGATCTGACTCATAGCGACCCCTCCTTGGGTTTCTGAGGCAGTATTACTATGTAAGTAGATTGCCCAACCTTCCTTCTAAGGAGTGGCTTGTGGGTTTGAACCTCCAGCCTTCTGGTTAGCAGTCAAATGCCTTAGGCACTATGCCACCAGAGCTCCCAATTATAATACACTACTCACTTATTTTCAAGTAGTGCCTCTGATAGTCTCGGCCCCACACAGGCCCAGCTGGGTCTGGGGTGCCCTCTGCAGGCCCCACTGACAACCAGGCCATATGAGGGATGGGGGCCGACTGGCTATGGGATACCTTCTCCCTTTCCTCTGTGCTATCTCAGTCTGGCCACGAGGGGGTGGGGTGATGGCTGGATGATGTGAGGTCTTGGGTGGGCAAGGGGAGACCAAGCAAGGGCCAAAGGTGCTGAGGAGACTGGTGGAAGGAGGTGGGAAGGTGGGGAGAGGGAAGGGGACTGCATGGGGCTGTGGAGCCAGGGATGACAGAGGATGCCTTACTTAGCTTTTGTATAGAGCATCATATAGTTAGGTTTTGTTTGTTTGTTTAACCTGATTCTTTTTCTTTTAAAAGATGTTTAATCCATTTATGGGACCTTTGGTAGCGTAGTGCCTAAGGCACTTGACTGCTAACCAGAAGGCTGGCAGTTCAAATCCACCAGCCACTCCTTGGAAGATGGGGCAATCTACCTCTGTAGTGATGTTGTTGTTGTTGTTATGTGCCGTCGAGTCAGCCCTGACTCATAGCGACCCCTCCTTGGGTTTCCGAGGCAGTATCACTACGGAAGTAGAATTGCCCAACCTTCCTTCCGAGGAGTGGCTGATGGGTTTGAACCGCCAGCCATCTGGTGAGCAGTCAAGTGCCTTAGCCACTATGCTACCAGAGCTCCCTGTGATACTGCCTTGGAAACCTGAGGAGGGGTCGCTATGAGTCGGGTCTGACTCAATGGCACATAACGACAACAATCCATTTATGTTTACTGACACTTGGATTTGTTTATTTATGTTGCATTGTTTTTAACTGCATTTTTAAAATAATTTTTTTTTTACCTTTGGCAATATGACCAATCATTCTGTGTTTTATGTTTTCCTTCTGATAGGTTTATAGCCTGTTTTTAGTTCTTTTGATAACTATCCTTATATCTGTTTTATACTATTTCTAAAGTGCTGTTGCTTGTAATGTTGTTACCTTTAGACAATGTCAAGTGACTCTTCTATATGAAAGAAGAGGAAGTTAGTATAGTCTCATATTCTTCCCATTTCTCTACAATCCAATTCTGATTGGTTATATTAATATTCTTAGGTCCTTTACTGGTTACTTTTATATCTATTCAAGAGTATAATTAATCCTTTATAACTTGATTTAACAGCTTTAAAGTATCTATCAATCTCTGTAGTAGTTTCTTAGGATTGCCGTAAGAAATTACTATAAGCTGGGTGGCTTAAAACAACAGGAATGAATCCTTATAGTTCTGGAAGCTAAAAACTAGAAATCAAGTGTTGGCAGGACTGTGTTCTCTCTGACGGCTGTAGGGAAGAGCCTTCTGTCCCTCTTCCTAGCTTCTGGTGGCTTATGGCAATCCTTGGCCTACAGCTGCATCAATCCAATCTCTGCCTCTGTCTTCACATGGCCTTCCTCGTGTGTTTATCAGTGTCGCTGTCCTTATTAGAGCCCTGGCGGCACAGTGAGTAAGCACTCATTTGTTAAGTGAAAGGTTGGCAGTTTGAACACACCAGCTGCTCCCTCGGAGAAAGACATGGTAGTCTGCTTCAATAAAGACTCCAAACAATCAAACCCATTGTCGTCGAGTTGATTTCAACTCATAGGGACCCTATCATCACACAGTAGAACTGTCCCATAGGGTTTCCAAGACTGTAAATCTTTATGGAAGCAGATGGCCTAACCTTTCTTCCGTGGAGTAGATGGTAGGTTTGAACTGCTGAGCTTATGGTTAGTAGCCCCGATGCTTTAACCACAGTGCCATCACTCATTTCTAAAAAGATTATGGCCTTGGAAATCTTGTTCCTACTCTGTCCTACAGGGTCATTATGAGTTGGAACGGACTTAATGGCAACAGGTCAGGTCTGTCCTTATGAAGAAACTAGTTATTGGATTTAGGGCTGATAAAACTGTTCTGATTCTTTTGGCATCCAGATTACTGAGTTCAAGGAATTAGGGTGACCCATGAAAGCTATCACCATTAGATGTCATTGTGAACCTTGTAGGAGCTGGTTTATGGATTACACCTCAACATAAAGAAAACAAAAATCCTACAACTGGACCAATAAGCAACATCAAGATAAATGGAGAAACGATCCAAATGGTCAGATTTCATTTTGCCTGGACCCACAATCAACACTCATGGAAGCAGCAGTCAAGAAATAAGATGCTCTGTTGCACTGGGCAAATCTGCTGTAAAAGACCTCTTTAAAGTGTCAAAGAGCAAAGATGTCACTTTGAAGACTAAGGTGTGCCTATCCCAAGTGTGGTAGTTCAGTTTGTGTGTCAACTTGCCTGGGCCTGGCTGAGTGGCTGGGCAGCTGGATACAGTATTCCCCATGATGAGACTGGTAATCAACTCCATGGTGGAATCTACTGGGAGCAGCTGAGTAGCTGTCTTAGGGAATGTGGTCTGCTTCCTGTGTATAAGCAGAAGCCTTGGGGAACAGTCTCTAGCTTATGGCATGCTTGGACCCTGCATGTAGCTGTGTTGTTGTACAGCAGTCTGCCATGCTCTGCCAAACTTGGGACTTGCAATGGACTTAAATTAATGGTCTGCCATGTGGTTTGGTAACATCGGGACTGTGCCTTTTTACTTGTCAACTATGGGCTTCTCAGCCTCAGCAGCCAGCAGCCGCCTGAGTGAAGAAATGCTTCTAGCTCCAGTGGGCCGGGAGCAGGAGGCAGAGCTGGACCCCAAGGTTGAGGGGCTTTTACCCAGCGCCTAGAGCCTGGAACTTTGAACTTGTACTTAAAGCCTCCAAACTGTAAGAAAATAAACTCCTGTTTGTTAAGGCCATCCGGTTTGTGGTATATTCCTGTCAGAGTGGCACTAGTTAACCAGAACACCAAGCCATGGTATTTTCAATCCCCTCTTATGCATGTGAAAACTGGACAATGAATAAGGAAGACCAAAGAAGAGTTGATGCCTTTGAGTTGTGGTGTTGGCAAAGAATGCTAAAAATACCATAGACTTCCAGAAGAGTAAACAAATCTTGGAAGAAGTGAAGCCAGAACGCTCTTTGGAAGTGAGAATGGCCCGACTTCGTCTCACCTACTTTGGTCATGTTGTCAGAAGGGACCAGTTGCTGGAGAATGATATCATGCTTGGTAAAGTGGAGGGTCAGAGAAAAAGGGGAAGACCCTCAGTGAGATGGATTGACACAGGGGCTGCAATGATGGGCTCATGCGTAGCAAGGATTGTGAGGATGGCACAGGACCAGGGCAGTGTTTCGTTCTGTTGTACACAGGGTCATTATGAGTTGGAATTGAGTTAATGACACCTAACAACAACAACAGGAGCTGGTTCCCTGAAGTCACCTTCAAGTCAAACAGCAGCTTAGTAAACAGCTTAGCAGAAAGCATTTTGCCTTAGGCACTGGGTTCTTTTGGAAAACTGTCTATGTGCAGCCAGCTTCCAGAAGTAGGCACTCTACAGTTGGATTAGAGGCTATTTTAGAATGTATAGCATGTCACCCCTTGGTGACTGTTTTTGTAACTTGCTATGATAGTTAATGTTATATGTCAACTTGGCCAGGCCATGATTCCTAGCATTGTGTGGCTGTCCTCCATTTTGTGATCTGATGTAATGATTCCCTATTATAAATTCTAACCTTTTTATGTTAATAAGGCAAGATTAGTGTGGGGTATATCTTAAGTCACAACCATACAAGAGGGCATGACTGAAGGTCCACCCTTACTCAAGTCATACCCTCGCTCTGGTGCAATTTTCTTGGGGGTGTGACCTGCATCCAATATATATATATATGGACACTCTGGCAAGGCTCTCCCTTGCTCTGGATCCTGCATCTGGCTCATCGTCATGTGACCTCTGGTTCTTGGGACTTGAGCGAGCAGCCTATCATCTGACCTGCTTACTTTGGGATTTGCCAGCTTCTGTAGCCCATGAACCAACAGCCTATCATCTGACCTGCTGATTGTGTGTTTGTCAGTTCCTGCAACCATGTGAGTCAGGAGAAGTCTCCAGCCTGATGCCTGACCCAAGGATTTGGGACTTGCCAGCCTCCACAACCATGTGAGCCATTTCCTTGACATAAACCTCTC